GGGAGGAAAACAGAGCTGCTTCATGGAAGAAGAACCTCAGCTCAGCGCTACACATTCTCCTCTCATCACTGAGGTCCTCCATCCACATGACAGAGAGGAGAAGGTAGAAATGACTCAGCCTGCAACTGAAAATATGCAGGGAGGAAAACAGAGCTGCTTCATGGAAGAAGAACCTCAGCTTAGCCTGTTAGCCTTTGTGCTAGCGCCAGCGCTATATTGCCTTATATGTATTAGCTCAGCGCTACACATTCTCCTCTCATCACTGAGGTCCTCCATCCACATGACAGAGAGGGGAACGCAAAAATGACTCAGCCTGTAACTGAAAATATGGATGGAGGACCTCAGTTTAGCTTGTTTGTCGTGCTAGGATCAAGCTAATACATATAAGGCAGTATAGCGCTGGCGCTAGCACAAAGGCTAACAGGCTAAGCTGAGGTTCTTCTTCCATGAAGCAGCTCTGTTGTCCTCCATCCACATTTTCAGTTACAGTCTGAGTCATTTCTACCTTCTCCTCTCTGTCAACGCTCTCTGGTTTTATTTAAAAGAGTTGATCGTCAGATATTGTCCAAGATTAACCTTCAGGGTGGATACAACTCGCTCACACTGAGGACCTATCCACGTCATTTACCCAGAATGCTTTGTGTGTAAATAAAATGGCTCTGTCCGTGTTAAAATATATTTTTAAAAATTTACAAAACTAAACAGCCTACAGTATTTTTACAGTCTTTAAAATTTTAAAATATATATTACACTGACGGGACCATTTTGTTTACACGAAAAGAGCTGTACGAATTATCAACAGAAAACATTACAGTCACCCATCAAATACTTTATTTTGTCAGTTGAAATTATTGAAATTTTATGATATATATAAAATAAAAAAATATATAATTTTAAATTTTTACTGTCAAATATTTGTTTATCAAATAAAGTCTAATGTTACAACTAATCAGGGATCCCTTGAAGAAATCAATATTAGATATGAAAACAAATAACTGACTTCCAATTAATCACTAAATAATGCTTTATTAGATTAAAATCTGTCCCATTCAATACTGATAACATCCGTTTGGACGGACCAGAAAGATACATCCTCTTTGTCCTCACTCGGAGGTCTAACTTTGTTTGAACAAAAAAATTATCATTAAATTTGGATAAAACTAATTGTATGAAATTCAGTAATAGAAAGAGAACTATTGGTTTCCCATTTAGAGTTGATGGTGTTGAGATCTGTAGAGTCAGTGAAGTTTTTGGGTGTTATTAATGAAAAAATGACATGAAAATCTCGCATAAAAGAACAAAAATAGTCAAATCCATTGCAGTAATGTATAAAGTAAGGGACTTATACAAATTTGTTTATGTCATATAATGTAATAATTGCTCCACACTTGATCTATTGTATTGAATTCCTGGGGGAAAGCATATAAAKCAACTGCAAATCCCATCTTTATTTTACAGAAAAGAGCTGTACGAATTATCACCAGAAAACATTACAGTCACCCATCAAATACTTTATTTTGTCAGTTGAAATTATTGAAATTTTATGAATTGGTTGATCAAAATATTTTGCAGGTCATGTATAAGGCTCAAAAATGCATTACCTTTAAATATCCAATTAAATTTTGTTAAGTGAGTAAGTAATTATAATCTTAAGGGACTAGAGATTTTTGTAAAGCACAAAATTTTTTGAACAACTTTGAAGGATCGATGTACTTCAGTACAAGGAATAAGACTGTGGAATAATCTGGAAAGTAATTATATTAAAAAAGATGGCTCAATAAATGTGGTTAAGAGAATGATAAAAGTTAGTTTTTTTGTTATGTTTTGTTATTTGAAGATTATTATTGTTTGAATTAAAAAAAATTTTGAGAGGGGGGCTGCAGATATTAATAGAATTTATTTCTTCTGTTGCCTTTAATTTTATTTGATTTGTATTATTTGTTTTGTTTTTTAAATGAAAATGAATAAAACTAAAAATAAATAAAAATACAAGGAAGGATGCGGCCCACCCCTTCTCCCAGAACCAGGCTGGTTGGGCCAACAGAACGAAGCATCAGTTCTGAGCTCTGGAAAATAGGACTTTTACTGTATGTGCCCCAGAGGTAAGCAAAGTCCAACCACAGAGAACACCTGGAGTCCAGTTAGACACACTTAGTGTTAAGAATATATTTTTCATTGTTTTAGACACAGATAGAGCAATCTGCAGCAACAAGGCGGCAGCAAAACGTAAGAAAAAAATCATAATATCTAAATGTAAATGAACAAATAAATAAATAAATAACAACAACAACAATTTAACAGTTTTACATATATCTGTTTATGGTGGATTAAATGTTTAACAGATTATATTTTCTTCAGCAACCTAATTGATTCCTGTTTTGTTACATTTTATACAGGTGCTGGAAATAAAATTTGAATATCATGAAAAAGTAGATTTATTTCAGTAATTCATTTAAAAAGTGAAACTTGTATATTATATTCATACATTACATACAAACTCATATATTTCAAATG